GGCTGTGTGGGGAGCCTAAGAGGCGAGTGAGAACACCTGCTTTAAATAGGGGAGCGAGCCTTGCTGGCCAGCCTTTTGGCCCCGGGTGTCCGCGAGGGCTCTTAAGTTGGACGGGGCGGGGCGGACCGGGCCTTAGCTTCCTGGGCCCAGACGCCGCCTCCAGCGCAGTGGACCCCCCAGATGCTCCAAAGCCCCGTGCACTTCTGCGCCCATGGGAGGCCGGCACCCTCCCTCCTTCCGCATTGAAAAGTGCCCCCCGCTGGTGCGGTCTTGAGGAGGGGGTGCGTAAAGGACCCTGAGCTCGCTTCGGGTGATCCCGGGCGAGCCACCCTGCCAGTGGGCGCCTTCAGGTCTCGGCTTATCCGCTCGCGGCCTTGAAGCAGAAGCCCTCATCTGTGACCACGCAAGACCTTAAAAATTTTAAAATTTAATTTAAATATCTCGTTTATAAACACAGTGAAAAGTAAATTCCCCACCTCGTCTGCCAGCCATCCAGCTTCCCTGCCTGGACACACCGCTGTAGTTACCAATTTCTTTTGGATCTTTCCAGGCACTTTTTGCACCCACTACCTAGGAAAATCCTTTCTTATATTAAAACAAGTGAAAGGGGAAAAACTGTAATGGTTCCAGATTAAGAAATACGAATTCATTGCCAATTCATAGGAGTCAATGTCCTGCAAAACCTGTGTTATGTGGATGTAAGGCAGGCATTTGTATCCCTGTTTCGCAGATGGATTATCAGTATTTACCCTTGTCCTTGGGCAAGTTTCCAGTTACTGTTTGAATTTCTTCACATGTAAAACGGATATAATAGTAGGTACCTCATGGAGTTGCTGAATTACATGAGTTACTGCATATAAAGCATTTAGAATTGGCCTGGTGCGTGCGCAGTGAGCACTATAGTCTGGTTGTGGAGCTCCCAGGGATTCCTGCCTTCCAGGCTCCCATAGCATTCTGCCTCCCTGCAAAAATGCCTAACATTGAAACTACTCAGTCAGGTCGAGGTGCAGTTCAATGGCTTGTCCAGGCATCAGCTGTTCGGAACACCAACTGGCCTTGTCTGCTCTGCCAAGTAAGGGCTGGAGGAAATTTGCTAGGATGGGGAGCCACCTGCCCCTCCCTGCTTCCACTTCAGCGAATACCCACAGCTTTCTGAGCAGCCCCTCAGGCAGCCTGGAACGTTGAGATTGTGTGCAAAATGATGGGCGAGTGACCCATCTGGTCCCAGGTCTAGCTACTGTGTTCTGGCCAGAGGATGCAGGGTCAGAGATGAGGGAACACCAATGAGAGCTCTAGGGAAGGGGTGTAGGTGGGAGAGGCTCTCTCTTACATGAGGTCAGTCCCATTGGGAATAAAGAAGTTCTAGAACCCTTTCCCCCATAACTCCCAAATGCTATGCACACTACCCCATTTCTCAATGTAGTTTTTTGAGGAGGTTTCCTCTGAGAAGGAGGGGCTTTGTGACCCAGCCCCCAGGACCCAACCAGGATACAGTACCGAGGCACCAAAAGCGGGCCTTGTGAGGTGGGATAGAGACATCCACTTTTTTGGGCTCACAAAGACAGCAGCTTTTGCTGATGGGGAACAATGGAGCATGATGGTGGAAAATATGGATTTTAGAGTTGGACAAAATGGCTTCAAATTCCAACTTTGTCACTGAATATTTCTGTGACTTCAGATAAGTGGCTTATTCATTCTAAGCCTTAATGTCTTATAAAATGGGAATGATCTCTCAGGTGAGAAAATACTTAATGGGATTCTTACAAAAATTAAATGAGATTGTGTTTTTAGTTCAGTGGATAAGCTATTATGGGGAGGAGAGAGGCTATTTACAATATCAGCATGCACCCTGGAATCGGGGGAGCTGACAAAAGAACAAGACAAAACTTGTTAAGAAGACTTATGCACATTTTGTTACCTCTGTTTGTAATGATTTTTAGGTAAAAGTATGGTCACTGTATGTTTAGCTCTGGATTTTCAGTACATTATTAACTATTTTCTGTTGTTTCACTTAATTCTTCTCAAACTGTAAGTTCCTGAGGATAGACATCAATATCTCCAATTTACATATAAGTAATTAGAGCAAGAGAGGTTAACAGCCTGCCTAGATTCAAATCCTCTAGCTATGGGACTTTAGCAAAATGTGTTTTAATTTACACTTATTTCCCTGAAGACTGTTCAAATTGAGCCACTTTTGTGTGAAATGCGTGTTCAAGTGGTTTACTTATTTTTCCATTGGGTTACTATCTTTTTCTTATTTATTTGTAAGACTATTTTTGTATAGATGGAGAGAGATATTTTGGAATCAAGTCTTTAGTGGTAATATATATAGAAGGAAGTATCTCCTCCCACTCTGTGGCCTGCTTTTTCATTCTTTTAATGTTTTCTTTTGATGGACAAAGTTACTAGTTTTAAGAAAGGAAAAAAAGACAAAGGGAGAAACTGTAGGTTAAAAAGAGTCATAAAAGACGTATTAATCAATTGTAATGATCGACCTTATTAGGAGACAAAGAAACTGTATAAATATTTATGAGATAACTGAGGATATTTAAATGCTGGATATTAGATGACATGAAAGATTATTGGTATATATTTTTATAGGTATCATAATGATATTTTTAGGTATGATAATGATATTTTTAGCTACATATAATGAATCCTTATATTTTATAAAAACTTACTGAACACATGAAAATATATTTAATGTAAAATATATCATGTCAGACCATGTGACCCAGGAATCCCGCTCCTGCGCATATATCCAGAAGGAACCCTACTTCAAAATGACACCTGCACCCCAATGTTCATAGCAGCACTATTACAATAGCCAACACATGGAAACAGCCTAAATGTCCATCAACAGATGACTGGATGAAGAACAAGTGGTATATTTATACAATGGAATACTATTTAGCCATAAAAACTGACAACATAATGCCATTTGCAGCAACATGGATGCTCCTGGAGAATGTCATTCTAGGTGAAGTAAGCCAGAAAGAGAAAGAAAAATACCATATGAGATCGCTCATATGTGGAATCTAAAAACAAACAAACAAACAAACAAACCAAAGCATAAATACAAAATAGAAATAGACTCACAGACGTAGAATACAAACTTGTGGTTACCAAGGGGGCGGGGGGTGGGAAGAGATAGACTGGGATTTCAAAATTGTAGAATAGATAAACAAGATCATACTGTATAGCACAGGGAGATATATACAAGATCTTATGGTAGCTCACAGAGAAAAAAAATGTGACAATGAATATATATATGTTCATGTATAACTGAAAAATTGTGCTCAACACTGGAATTTGACACAACTTTGTAAAATGATTATAAATCAATAAAAAAAAGTTTTAAAAAAATCATGTCAGAATTTGCTTCAGAATAATCTGGGGTAGGTAATGGCCAAGACAAGATTGGCCATGAGTTGAAAATTTTTGAAGTTGACTGATGAGTGCGTGGGGTTTTGTTATAGTATTCATTCTGCTTTTGTTTATATTTAAAATTTACTATAACACAAGGTAACAAAAAAAAATAAAGACTGGCAATGAATGAAGTGTTCAACTTAAGTAGGTAGGAAAAAAACAACAAGGAAAGTTAAAGAAAATAGAAGAAAAGAAAAAATACAGATAAGAACAAGAAGTAATGAAATAGAAAAAAATGATACAGTTAATAGAAAAAGATGGCACAGTTGAGAAGATCAACAAAAATCAAAAATGTTTCTTCGGAATAGATAATAGAATAAACAAACCACTATCAAAGCTTATCAAGACAAGAAAGAGAAAAGGCATAATAAGTGGGTCGCCAAAATAGCACAGTTGGGAGAGCGTTAGCCTGAAGAAAAGGCATAATAAACATTATTAGGAATGATGGCAGAGCAAGGCTACAAATAAAATAGAGATTATTTTATTGTAAGGGATTATTGTGAATAACATTTTTTTTGAATAACATTGTTAATACATTTGATGCTGGAGAGGCTGTAGAGAAAAGGGAACCCTCCTACACTGCTGGTGGGAATGCAGTTTGGTGCAGCCACTGTGGAAAACAGTATGGAGATTCCTCAAAAGACTAGGAATAGACTTACCATATGACCCAGGGATCCTGCTCCTGGGCATACATCCAGAAGGAACCCTACTTCTAAAAGACACCTGCACCCCAATGTTCATAGGAGCACTATTTACAATAGCCAAGACATGGAGACAGCCTAAATGTCCATTAGCAGATGACTGGATAAAGAAGAAGTGGTATACTTATACAATGGAATACTATTCAGCCATAAAAACTGACAACGCCATTTGCAGGAACATGGATGCTCCTGAGAATGTCATTCTATGTGAAGTAAGCCAGAAAGAGAAAGAAAAATACCATATGAGATCATTCATACGTGAATTCTAAAAAAAAAAAAGAACATAAATACAATACAGAAACAGACTCATAGACATAGAATACAAACTTGTGGTTGCCAAGGGAGGGGGTGGGAAGGGATAGACTGGGAGTTCAAAATTTGTAGATACTGACAGGCATATGTAGAATAGATAAACAAGATTATACTGTATAGCACAGGGAAATATATATAAGATCTTGTGGTAGCTCACAGCAAAAAAAAATGTGACAATGAATATATA